TGAAGCACTAGAAGAAAAGGTTGAAACACTTCTCAAGCTATCTCAAGTTATACTTTGCCATTATATATAATATGATATCATAGCTTAATATATATCTCAGGTTATACTATTCCCATATTGTGACATTTTTTGGACTCATGTGGGTTGATGCTCCATTTATTTTTCATGTAATATCAGTTGTCTTGACCTTCAACATTCGTGTTTATGGAGGGTCCAATGGGTATAACTAGGTTGAGCATATAAAACATCATGGCATTTGGTCCTTGATTGTTAGAATTTAAAATCTAATTTTAATCTAAGTCAAAATCAACAATTAATTTTAATCATATATTTTTATAAATCTCACAGCTTTTCAATCATATATTTCATCAGCTTCTATCAATATTTGAAATCTATTAAAAATATGATTTTAATCCCTACAATACATGGGCATAAAATAAAGAATAATGATATTTAGTATCAGTGGTGTTATAACACCGGTTTAATTGGCTACACTTTATATGTTTAATTAAGCCCTTGTTTGATTCTCATTTTTTCCAAAATACACAATTCTCTCTTTTCTTTTCAATAACACATTTTTCAGTAAAATTATATTACACGCAAACGCAAAATTATTTCTTAATTTTTAACCACGTATTTTTCATTAATCTACTATTCCAAAATGCATTCTAAATCAAAAATTGGGCTCAAATAGGCCCTAAATGAGTCACATGGATTTATATTTAAATGAATATATCATTTAATGCAATGGAATTGTCATCTAGACTGGTACTTATCACCAGTAATTATGAACAACATTACTTTAAAATAAAAGAGACTGGAGGGCTGAAGAAAACTTTTAACTGCCATGTTTTGAAATTGAATGGAACATGTGGAATTCTGATTTTGCCCTTGTGGTAATGACCATATTGAAAGAAAACGTGAGCTGGGACAAAGTTGCGCCTAAAACGAAAGCTTTACGAGGTTAATGCCAATAATGAATTTATATGATTAAAATTTAAACTATGTTAAACAAGCTTTATATATAACATATCAACTTATATTCTTAGTCTATTTTTTTCAAATTAACTATAATGTATAGATAATCACATTTTTTCTTCACGAGAATATTTTAGGTATATCAACCCCATTTTAGATGATAAATGATTTAAAATGTAGTTAAGGAAGTGTACGTTGTCTTCAAAACTATAAATGATGGAGGTTCATGTGATTTTATAAGTGTGGGGTGTCTATGATATTTTCACAAAATTGTAAGGTCATGTGGGGGTTGTGGGGAAAACCAATTATCAAGAAAAATTTAGCTATCAAACAACCAAAAAGTTGGAACCTCATGGAAAATAGGTAACATCAAACATGGCCTAATATCTTATACTATATTAAAGAAGGATAGCAGCAACATTCTTCCGCTCCACTGCACTAGACATTGATCCTGCCCAACCCAGACAAATTTTTTAATTCATTTTATTTTCTCAATCGCTGTTCAAGATTTTTAAATGAACACTAATAAATGCTGCAGTCACTGGTGAAGTACTATGATGGCCACGCAACCACTACATCACATTAAATGCAACATCACACATTAAAACATTAAATGCAACAACTGTTTCTTTCAAATTTTTGAGAATATTTTCCTATTTCTACAACAAATCAATGTTTCTTGAGAATATTTTAATTTTTTCATTTCACGCAACAACTATTGAGAATATTTTATATTTTTCCATTTCACATTAAATGAACAACTATTCAATCTTTCTTTAAAAAGTTTTTGAGAATATTTTTCCATTTTTTTGGACTTTGTTTATCCTAACTATAACTATTATTCCTCTCATAGACATGCATGGGTTAAAAGTATTTCTTTGGTTTGCAGTAAGCAACCTGTTGTCTCATTTATAGTTTACTGCCACAGAAGAAATGGTGATGAGAATATAACGTGTCAAAATTTTTTATTCATTTTATTTTCTCAATGCAGGATATTTGCACGCTTTTTCACATCTCCATATTTCAATTTTTTCAACTCCCCATGTCTGGATATTTGCTGATTTTTTCACATCTCCATTTTTCAACTCGTCCACTGTACTTCACCCCACCCCACTCCACCCCACCCCTCCCCTCCTACCCAACCTCTACCACATATACTTTTCATGATATTTACAGGATTTGCAGGATAATCACAAATTTGATTGACACGATCTAAAAAAGCAAAACACATTTTAAATCCAATTTTGTCCTCGTAAAAAGTGTTGTATATCAACGTTTTCAACTCTCTCAGTATTTCTCATATATTTTCATTCATCGGGCTCTTCTCTTATGTAAGCGACCGTCCCTTTTTTTTTTTGCCAGTATCTACTTCATTTTTTGTTTTCGTAATCTAAGTTAAAGCTTAGCTTTTTTATTTCTATGTACAGTAAGATGGCTCCCATAATAGATATGCTCACAGACATCGTTCCTACCAAAACAAAGTGGGCATTCCGTGTTCGCGTTGTTTAACTTTCGAAAAATCCTACATCTGAAAAACCCGATGACATTTACAGCTTGGAGATGATATTGATCGATAGAGATGTAAGTATATAAACCTGCAATTATTCTTGATTTTGAAAGTACTTTGTACTTGCATTTGAAAAGAAAAAGAAAACAAAAAACAAAAAACTTGCATTTGAAAAGAAAAAGAAAAAAAAATTGAAAACAGTGCATCATTACTTTTGTTATACAAAACAGTGCTTCCTTCTTGACGTGTTTGACGGCGATGATTCAATAAATCAGTACCTCCCAGTGTTTGAGAACCATGCTCTGAGAAACAGTTGTTATGAACTTATTAAAAAGTTTCATATTGAACAGTAACCACTTTGTTTACGTAATAATATTAACGGAGTATTTAACCTAATATTAACTGTTTAATCGAAGATAGTAGCTTTCCATATCATATTTATGATTTTATTCCGTTTGGTGATCTGTTGTCAGCTTCTGAAATAGATGAAAGTAAGTTGATTGGTAATGTTTACTTTTAATATGTCATGTCATATTTTTTGGAGTTCCAATTTAAAAATAAATGGATTTATGATTTTTAATGTTAATGAGAATATATCAATATTTCTTTTTTTAGATGTAATTGGAGAAGTTGTTGGCAAAGATACAGTCCACTCAAAGGAAATATATGGGAGAAGTACAAGAATGATTGATATTTTACTACTGGATATTGAATATGTCCTTCATTGGCAGTGTGTATAGTTGTTATCTAAGTAGATGATTAACACTTACTAACATCTACCGCTTCTTATGCAATAGGAACAATCGGTTATCCTGCACCATTTGGGGTGAGCAGGTTGATGAGTTTAGCAACGTCCTGGATACTGAAAATCCAGAACCAGCCATATTATTACTTCAGATGTGTCGCGCTAAAAAGTTTAGAGGTCTATTTTGTTTTTTACACTATTATATAACTATGAGTGGGATTCATTTTGCATGATGATTATTAATATTTCTGATACATTGTTGTAGGTGAGGTGAGGATATGTAACACATATTATGTGACGAAATTATGTGTCAACACCCAACTTGCGGAAGTTCAGACTTTTCGAGATAAGTATGTTTATCGTATACCGTGGATAGACAATATATTTTTGTTTATTTTAACAGTACATTAGTTAATATAATATCGAAAATCTATTCAAGGTTGTTATCTGCACACAAGAGTCTAACCCAGAGGATAAGTCAGATATCCTCGAGTTCTGTTTATGATGTGTCAGATAACTCAGCAGGTGGAGGTTACGATGTCAAGAGTATTGATCAACTACTAGATTCGTCTGAGGTAATATTTGAAGACAAGTATATGATATATAATACAATGATTTTTGCTAAGGATTATATTATATTGTGAAAAATATTTTTTCGGATGTATTAGATTGGTCATTGTTGGATTTATGCTACTATTGTGGCTATTGAGAATGATCGGAATTGGTGTTACCTATCGTGTAAGAAGTGCCTAAA